ATGTTAGAATGGCAACTCAAGCACTTGTGTTTTTAGTTACGGCTATCAATGACTCGTGGAAAATTCCAGTCGGTTATTTTTTGATAGATAGCATATCCGCAGAACAAAAAGCCGAACTGGTGAAAAACTGCTTGAAACTATTATTTTCTTGCAATATTAATATAGTTGCAATTACATGTGACGGATGTCCCTCTAATTTTGCAATGGCGAAATATTTGGGCTGCAAGATAGATTGCAATGAAGTACAGCCTGTGTTTAAAATAACTTTTGAGGGTACTACTAAAGAAGTTTGTTTCTTCCCAGATCCACCGCACATGTTAAAGTTAATGAGAAATCTTTTGGCAGATAAGGGCACATTAAAAAATGATAGGGGATACATAAGCTGGAAATATTTGAATTCATTGTACGAATTACAAGAAAAAGAAGGATTGCACTATGCAAACAAATTAAAAAAAGCTCATATACATTTTCATAATCAAATTATGAAAGTTAAATTAGCTGCCCAGACTTTCAGCAACTCCGTCTCCGATGCAATTGAATGTTGCGAAAATGATTTGCAGTTAGAAGAGTTTCAGGGTGCATCGGCCACTGCTGATTTTTTGAGAAAGATTAATAATCTTTTTGATATTTTAAATAGTCGAAATATAAATGCATACGGTTATAAAAAACCATTGAACTTGAGAAATTGGGACATTAACTACAAGTTTCTTAATCAGATGCTGAATTATTTGCAGGAATTGAAACTTGCAAATGGAGACAATGTTAATAAAACCAATAGAAAGAAATGCATTATTGGATTCCGATGTTGCATTAGAACTGTCCAAATTTTGTATGATAAACTTATTGCTACTTCTAAGTACGTGACGTGACCACATAGAGTGTTTTTTTAGTGCTGTTAGATCCAAAGGTGGGTTTAATAATAATCCTTCTGCAATACAATTTCGAGCAGCATATAAAAGATTAGTTGTTCACGGAGAATTAAAACATATTGATACTGGAAATTGCACAGTGCTTGAAAATATCAGCATATTAACATATACCAACTCGCACTACGAAAAGTCGATAAATAGTAGTTTGGCCTTATTAAGTCGTTCCGAATTCGAATTTTCAGACAATGTAAATGATAGTACAGAAAATACTAGTAATGTACTCGATTCTGATCATGATTACCTGGCAGATCCTTCTCGTTTGACAGAATTTTCTAAACAAATAATCACATATATTGCGGGATTTGTTGTAACTAAAATATCCAAAATTGTCAAGTGTGACAATTGTTTAATATCATTAATAAATACTGGTTCAAAAAACCAACTCAAGTTAATATTTAAAAAGGATAAGGGTGGTCTGCACTATCCTTCTCCAGATGTCATAAGCATTTGCGAAATAGCTGATCGAACGTTTAGACGCAATGTGGCACAAACTGGTACTAAAATAATCGAAAAAAAGGAAATACTAATAATAATGATCACTCAGAGTTTAAAAGCATGTCGTGGCAGAAGCTTTTTTAACGACCATGGAGTAAATTTTGATCATTCTCCATTAGATGACCACGTAATACTTTTGATGAAAGCTATATTATTAAAATATTTGCAAGTAAGACTTAATTATTATACAAAATTGATCTCGGAACCCGAATTTAGAGTACGAAATATGTATACAAAACTAACCCTGTTTAAGAACCAATAAATTGTTTTGATTAAAGATTATATTGATTAAAGATTTTATTTATTTTGAATTGTGTTTGAATAATATTCTTGAAGTTGTTGACCACTATGTGTATCTATTTCCATGTTAGTTACAGGAGTGTTTATTGTGGTATTTAAGTTTCGTTTTTGGAATGGTTCATAATTTAGAACTATAACTAGAACAAGGATAAGCTGGAGCAGCACTTAACTTTACCTAGGATTTCTGTTCTTTTGTCTGGTATATCAAGTTTTTAAATGATCTGTATCTCTCTTAAATTCTCGATGAGTTTAAGGGGATTTTATTCATAAAATGGACTGTTTTGTATTCGCCTGTCTAGACGTAAAAAACCGCCACTTTTGCGAATTACCTTGATGCTGTGTGAATTATGTGACTTTACACGCTATTAAAGTGCAAATTTTACTTTTTTGTGCCATAATTACTTAATGTTTTAAAGGAAATTAGTTTTTAGGGTACGCAAAAAAAACACGGTTTCTAATTCTAATTCCCAAGCATTTGTTGGAGCTATAAAGTTATCTAGGCATAGGCCAAGACCAAAGTATCATATAAGTAACAAACGTGTGCACAATGAAGACAGGTCACAAATCATGCTCGTGGTTGTCGTCGAGATGGCGTCACTAGTGTCGACTTTTGGTCAAACCATATCAATTTTGTCATTTTATTAGATTGTTATGTTATGTTATGAATTTAGACTGAGATTGACGGTAGAAGAACTAAGGAACAATAGACGGAGAAATGGCAATGATTTAATTTACCTGCTTGTGTCTCAAGCACATAGAAGTAGTTCTTATAGCAAATCAAAATTTGTGAGAACGTGTATGTTGTTTAGCGCAGGGAGGGGATTCACTTGGGGTTTTGGGATAACTCAACGTCGAATAAATGTTTTCTCTGATGAATGAGCTATAGAGTTGACATATAAAAAATAATTTATAGCTTTATAGATCGTAATAGTCACAATTTGCTACGAAGTGAAGTGGGTACGTGTTGTTGGGTGTTCTTTGCTTTATTTGAAATCGATAGAATGTAAAGACGTGATAAAACAAATTATACATATTCCCTAGTGTGTAGTACTCTAAAATCCTTCTTATTAGCATTCTCTTCACGTCATTTTCATATAACTGAGACAAAATAACATATCTTAAGCAATACACATTGCTGAAAAATCTTTAAATCCCACAAATGGTAAAATTTCCCCATTAATCAGGTAATGAGTTAATTTCACGCAACACTTTACGCACACATGTATCAATAAGTACTTGTATATGTGTGAGTTATCGCTATCTCATACCTGGTCACACAGTACTTCCGTCTAATAGTTACTCTGTCTACGGCTACGGGCATCCCTATCTGTCAATTAGCTGTAATTTGATCAGTTTCGCGCCAATATACTTCCGGGACTCCGGGTTGTCATTCTTGTAAACTACTGAAATCGACATTATACTGGGATTTTCTAAGTCAAGTATGACATAATATAAAAAATATGTTTATCAATTGAATAGTAAAATTTTTATTTTACCTACTTAGGATATTTTTATTTTATGGAAAACTAGCCGATTTCGCTCATGTAAAAATAATAGGCTATTTGTCAGTCGCGTAGCTTTCCGTCGAAGTATTTCTGAAATCGGTTCAGTAGTTTCGGAGCCTATACGATGCAAACAAACAACAAAATCTTGCCTTTTTATAATTAGTAGATATCTTAAAAGAGTTTTTGGGCCTTGAGATGGACTCGGTTATTGGATTTTGTGGATTTTGGTTAATACGGATAAATGTCAATAAATATAATAGGATAATAAATTTTCTTTCGACACGTTATTTCAATGATATCTACGAATGATTATTTTTCGTAAAATATTGACTGACACATTCCTAATAAAATACGAAAGACACATTACAATTTAAAAAAAATCAATTAATATACAAAGTCAACGATATTCAATTTATTCTCGGACCTAATCACTTTAACATTGCAATGTGTAAAGAATCTCTCATTTATTCCCAATGCTCATTTTGACACAGTTTACATTTAGATTGGTGAAACGGTATTGTTCTGGACGCATAGTAACTGAAATAAAATAAATTCTTAATTTATATTTAACTAGATGACATGGCGACTTCGTACCGATCATTTTGTATGAAAAAAGAGTGATATTCTAGTATTTTCCCATCAATTTTTCATTTTTTTTTTCATATATTCTAGATACATCCTCGGATTAATGACTTATTAAATCTTAAAATACAAATATTCGATATCGCGTGCATAACTTTGTAAGCGTAGATGTTTAAATAAAATGCATCGTTACATTTTATAAATTTAGGTAGGAATCTAGAATATTTACAAAAAACAGTGTTCACTGAAGCAGTCGCCAGATTACCGGAAATTTACGGGTCGCATCCCAGGCACTTTTTGATTTAGTAAAAAAGCAAAATAATGGATAAATTCAGCCGACATTATCGAGCAAATATTGATTTTCATCAAAAACAAATGATTCTTTTTCGTAGACATTTTCGAACCAATATTAATCCACTAATTTCCATGACCATAATGATGTTAAAATATTTTACTTAGAAACAGAATTATATTAATGAAGCCGAAAACGACGAGAAACTCCTTACTTTTCCATGGAAAAACATATTATTTTCGTTAGCAGTGCACAGTGAAGTAAAAATAACTGTCCCAAGACAATTTTGCAATCTCGCTCGTGTTTAAGATGCAAAGCAAACATTTTTATATTTTCTTTGAGAAAGAATAGTCTTTTTTTAGAAACTCGTAAGCGCATTGGTCGTGCGTTCGATGATTGCAGGTGTTATATTTTAAGCAACTTTTGAAAAAGCCGGCTATCAAATGGGTGATCGAAAATTTATTGTCTAGAGCTCCCCCATGCTTCGGAAAACATTTTAAAATTATGACGTCCTCTGTAACCACTCCGTTACGGAGGACGTCATATTTTTAAAATTCGGTTCGCATGCCGGTTTCGAGGTGTCGTCATCTCTGAGGTCCCGGGTTCGATTCCCGGTTGGGTCAATGTAGAAAATGAACTTTTCTATATTATCTCGAGTGTGGGTGTTGTGGTATCTTCGTTGTCTCAGATAATACGGGAGCTTTCGCTAGTTTTCTTGGAATCTGTGGAATGAAAAAAGAAAATCATAGAAAATATTACAATAATTATTACCCACTAATCCACACAAGGTTTTTTTATAGTTTATATTTTTGTATTACTTTTGACCGCGAAGACTTATACCCCTGCAATAGGCACATTAATATGCCGGTAATAATTAAATATCATATTCTGGTGCAGATTATGAAAGGATATTGGAACAACGAGGCTGCTACCAAGGAAACGTTGGACAGTGAAGGCTGGCTGCATACCGGCGACGTGGCTTACTACGACGAGGACCATTACTTCTACATAGTAGACAGGACTAAGGAGCTCATCAAAGTTAAAGGCAACCAGGTCTGTCTTAAACTATTATTAGCATTAGTTTTTGTCCACGACTTTCTTTATGTGGTGTTCCAAGCTCTAACCCCCTTACGCTTTATCCTGTGTAACTCTATTTCTTATATGAAACAATTACACTGCACTATGAAATACGTAAGCTCTGAAATGCTGTGTTCGTTCGTACTTAGGTCACGTATTATTTAAACATAATTCTTATTTCGACAGTAGTGCTTTTTAGGCTCTTATAAACGTTATCTTGTATGTCACATACACAGCCATAGTGAGACCCAAGAATGTCTGAATATCGCATAAGGCGAATAAGTAGGAAACCACTTTTAGCAACTCAAGCCAAGATTACTGAGGTAGTTTTAAAGGTTGAATTCCTTGTTACCAGGTATCTCCTACAGAAATCGAGAGTATAATTATGGAGATGCCAGAAGTGGCTGATGTGGCGGTGGTGGGTATGCCGGACCATCTCGCAGGCGAGTTGCCCAAAGCGTTCGTCGTACAAAAACCAAGAGGACAACTCACCGAGAAGCAAGTTTACGACTTCGTCGCTCAAAAACTCACTAAATATAAGCATCTAGACGGCGGAGTCGCTTTTCTAGACGCCATTCCTAGGAATGTCGCTGGCAAAATCATGAGGAACGAACTCAAAGTGCTCGGCAGGAAAAAGTAGAAAATCCGTTTTTTAAATAAGAGTATTATTTTTGATATTGTATATACATTTTAGTGAAAATATTAAATCGAACCAGAATATGATCTTTGTTAAGTTTGTATAATGACGGTTAGTACCTAGTTTTTAGTATTTGCAATATGTAAGTAGGACTGATTAAATAGAATCATTGTTGATGTTTAGTTTTAAGTAATTATCTAGTTGTAAAGCAAAACTCGACTTAATAATGAAACTGTGATCTTTTTAGTTTTTTGTCTTTCCAATCAATTAAGTTTAATGAACCTCTTTTTGTCAATGTTATTATTTATTAACTAAATAATGTGACAGTTTGATAATGTTTATAAAAAGGAATGACATTTTAAATAATACAATAGTGTAGGAATGAATTCATTATTATTTTGTCATATTACAAATATAAAACTACAGTAATTGTCATCCATTAGTCACACTGAAATTATCTGTACCTAGTAAATACCACTGTCTTCGCTCATTATGAGATCTAGTAGTTTCAGCCTAATGTAAATATAATTTACTATGTAACTATTGAAATAAATAATGTTGAATTTCTATTATTTTAGTAAAGCCAATTTATTATTGACTAATGTTTTATTTTATTTTCCCAAAATAACTTAAGTAACTAACTAAATGACATAGTTGATCCCTATTTGATGCTAGTAGCAGTCTTTAGTTATATGTAGAAATGAAATTACCACTAGATAGATGATTCTGGGTAAATACTTGATTGATACATCCAACCCAGTCACCAAAATAGGTATATGCCATTCATAACTTAGGAAAAGGCATTCAGTATACATTGGTGTCAATCTTTAATTCATTTTTTATATTAATTAAGAATTGAATAAAAAAGACTATATTTATCATGCCAATAGCATTACTAAATTAATATTAAATTATGAGCTTTTATTCTCAGTTTCTTCATCTGTGACTTTTACATCTTCTACAATGGCTTTTTCCTCTTTCTTTTCTTCATTTGTACTTGATTCAGAAGAGATCTCTTTTGATGTTTCTGCTGAAAATTCATCAGTTGGAATAGTATCAGGTGGTTGTGGTAGCTCAGACTGAACATCACTTATAGAGTAGTTGTCACTTTGAATGGTAGGCGGTGAACCTTCTTGGATACAAGTCTCTGGGATTTTCTCAGCAGTCTCTTGTTGCTTTACATCTTTTTCTTCCTCCATGTTGGAGTCGGACTGACTCGATTCCTCAGGCACATCACAGTGACTTTCTATTGCTTTTGGAGAATTACTATTACCATCAGTATTATCACTGGAAGATGAACTTTCTTCACTAGAAGTTGGTACATCAGATGGAACTTTACTATCCGACTCTTCTTTAGAGTTGGAATCTGAACTACTTTCATCAATGTTGGTTTGTTGATATTCTATGATAGATTTGCATTCTGCTTTTTCTGAGGGTTCTTCCGTTTTTACAGAATTTTCTTGTTCAGATAATCTCTGTTCAGTCATTTCAGCATCATCAACTTTGATTTCTGGTATAATCAGTTTTTGCTCTTCACTAGCATCTGCCGTTTTCATCTCTACGTCCATTTTTGGTTTTTCAAATTCTGATGACGTATCTGCAGGTTCTAGTTTGTGTTCTTCCATGACAGAAGTGGTTGGTTGTTGGACTGTTTCAGTTGATGATTTTGTTTCTCTCTCCAATTCATCAGTTGTTACATTCAGTTCGGGAGGGGTTACAGATTCATATTGTGTGGTCACTTTATCTTGAACCTCCATAGGAGCATCTTGTTTTGCTTTCAATCTCGCTTCAATATCATCAACAGAAATGTGGGTATCAGAAGAACTCGGTTGAGGTTCTGAACTTTTTTGGGCTTCTGAGTTTTCTTTCCATGACATATCTTCCATCTCAACATCCACATTGTACTCCGAATTATTGTCCGACCCATTAACAATAGGTTCCATCGCCTCTCCGTTTTCAGGTTCTATATGACGTTGGATTCCTGGTTCTCTAGTGCTGACAACTAAAATGTTTTTCTCTACAGCCCTCATAAATTTATCCACCCTATTATACTGCTTACGAGGATATGTTAACAGTTCACATATTCGTTGAACAGTAAACGGTGCTGATGTGAAGGAATCTAGACGCTCTAACAAACTATTTTTCATTATATCATAATTGAATGGGTCTACATTTGGATATGGCGGAATGTCAATGCCAGGCGTGGTTTCATAAAAGTCCGTAATCACATTCAATAGCTTTTCCTTGAATAAACATTTTACCAAAGGCCATTGATACACAGGATCACCGGTGCGGGCTACATACGCCAAGTAGTCGTTTAGTTCTTGAGGAATAATTTTAGGCTTACGTTTCGAAAATTCTTCCAGGAAGTGGAAAATTTCTTCGGCATTTTCCATTTTCATGGAATTAAGTTTAGCAAACAGAGTAATCTAAGTCAACGGAGTAATAATTTTGCTACAATAAACGAGAATGACACGGAAAACACAGACTTAGTAGGTACGGAAAATATTTTTTGGACAAGTCTAGAGATGTTCGTTGGTTATACAAAATAAATATTTATTATCGATATTTTTAATCGATTGCCTTGGTATTTTTAAAAAATCTAGAAGTTTCATAGTGACATATTTTCATTAGTATTTTCCATATTGACATTGCTTAAATTGGAAATATATGAGTGCTATCTTTGTATTGGCATTTATTGAACGATATCATTAATTTAAAGTTTACTGCAATTGTCTACGGCAAGCCTTAGAGGTAAATATCTTTAAAAGCTATGTTGAACATTGGAGTTGTATGATAACTGCAATCTTTCGACGGGTTTAGGTAAGTTTCTATTAAAGTGTGTGATGATCATTCAATGTAGTATTCGTTTCAAAAGCAATTTGCGTTTCATGTTTTTAAAAAGTAATGAGAATACAAAGTTGATTATCGTTACATTTTAGGTATTGAAGAACTTAGTTAACACCATCTTAACCTTTCAGAAAAAATGACTTTGATAAACGTACTGGCTCTAACCTTTATTGGTTCTATAATATTTCATACGTGGTGCAGTCTCAGAATAAATTAAACTTAAAACAAACAATAAAAATATCAAATTTCATTGTTTGTCTATCCAGGCGTGATGTTACTTTGCTTAAGATATTCACTCTGTACCACACAGCACAGTTAAACTCTGGAACAGTTTGTCGCCAGTGGTATTTCCGGACCGATATGACCTACAAACTTTCAAGCGTAGAGCATATTCGTCCCTCAAAAGCCGGCAGCGTGCTTATAGCTCCTCTGGTGTTGCAAGTATCCATGGGCGGCGGTAATCACTCACCATCAGGTGATCCGTCTGCTCATCTGCCACCTATGCTATAAAAAAAAAACCTTTCTATACTATATAACAGTTTGTATTTCATTGATACTATTTATTCATATTGTAGGGACACATATGCCTACATGTACATGTACAGTTTAGTTTGTAAGATGTTTATAAACAATTTGTTAGCGTCTGTAGAACAAAGACTTTTTAACTAGTCGCTAATATACGGAGTTACAGAGTGAACGTGTTTTCTTATTTAACCTTCTGATAACATAAATAGGGTCCGACACTTAATACCCTAAAGTGGTGACCGGTGTTATGAACATTACGTTTTTAGTTGTTTTGAACATTTTATTTAATTAACATTTATATCACTTTTTTTATTTTTTTATTAAAAAGTGCAGTATAAACAATGAATCCACAAAATGAAAGTTCTCAAGCGCGTGTTTCGGAACACAACCCCGAAGTTAAGCCAGAGACTTCATCATCTTTGGACTCCATCACCATTTCATCGAGAGTTCCTGATTTTTGGTCAGACCAACCGCGACTCTGGTTTGTCCAATTTGAGGCTGTCATCCAGTCACAGAAACTATCGGACGCCGCTAAACAAAATTTAGTGGTTACTAAATTAAGTAAGGCTGCGATTACACAGGTGAGCGATTTATTATTATCACCACCAAGTGAGCACAAGTACCAGACCCTCAAAGATAGACTACTGCATGTATTTGAGGAGTCGGAGACGAGGCAGTTCCAGAAGCTTCTTGGTGAAATGGAGCTTGGCAGTCAAAAGCCTTCGCAGCTCTTACGGCGCATGAAAGATCTAGCCCGTGGGAAAATACCAGACGCGACATTACAAATCATGTGGAATAGCCACTTGCCACAACCAGTGCAAGCTGTGTTGGCCGTTACACAGGAGACAGATATAACAAATCTGGCTGTAGTGGCTGATAAGGTCATGGAGGCCACTGGGCATTCCAATATAGCTGAAGTATCAACCAACAGCAACTCCTCAGAGCGGGAGTCAAAAATTACATGTTCGGAGCAATCCGACCTGGCGACGTTGGTAGCACGTCTCAGCATAGAAGTGGCGGAGTTAAGGCGCTTTCGGCAAGCGAATCGTGGTAGACCGTTCAGGGGTAGGAACTACAGTGCTGGAAACAGATTCAGTCGGGCACCGTCACAAGGTCGAGAGAGAGAGAATTCCAGTAACCGACGAAATCCTAATTGGCTTTGTTTCTACCATTATCGGTACGGAGATAAGGCCGTAAAGTGCATTGAGCCCTGTAATTGGCGGAAGCCCAAGCCACAAGAGCCAGCGGAAAACTAAGTGCGATACGACCGGAGGCGGAGGTTGGTATCGGGTTATCGAATAACCGCCTATGTGTTAAAGACAAAAAAAGTGGACTGAAATTCTTAATTGACACAGGTGCGAACGTTTCGGTTATTCCGGCATCGAAAAAGTGTGTTTCCGATTACAGTGCGAGTGATAAATACAAACTATATGCAGCTAACGGAACCGAGATAAAAACTTATGGTATGCGTACTTTAATTTTAGATTTTAATTTAAGGAGAGCATTTAAATGGAATTTTATCGTAGCGAATGTTAAACAGCCGATAATAGGAGCGGATTTTTTAAGCCATTATCAGCTGTTAGTCGACATGAGCGCGCGCAAGTTAGTAGATCAAATTACACATTTAAATGTTCTCGCCTCTGTTGTAAGTCATAACGAATGTGAATTATCTATTAAAACTGTTTTAGGTAATAGTAATTGGCATAATTTATTGCTTTGTTACCCGGACATAACGAAAATAGTATCGTACAAAGAGACACCTAAACACTCTGTGTGTCATTATATAGAAACTACGGGCCCACCGGTATACGCTAAAGCCAGACCTCTCCCGCCTGACCGTTATAGAAAAGTTAAGGAGGAGTTTAGCCACATGTTGGAATTAGGCATCTGTAGGCCATCTAAAAGCGAATGGGCCAGTCCATTACATGTGGTACCAAAGAAAAATGGTGATATTCGGCCTTGCGGTGATTACAGAAAATTAAATGCTATAACAAAACCGGATCGCTATCCGATTCCGAGACTGCATGATTTTAAATATTTATTAGCGGGAAATAAAACTATTTTTACGCGGTTAGATTTAATTCGTTCTTATCATTTCGTACCGGTTGCCCCGGAGGATATTGAAAAAACTGCCATTATAACGCCCTTTGGACTGTTTGAATTTCCGCGCATGATCTTCGGATTACGTAACGCAGCTCAAACATTCCAGCGTTTCATGGATACTGTAGTACTACAAGGGTTAGACTTTTTATTCAGTTATATCGATGATCTTATTATCGCGAGCGAAAATGAAAGTCAACACAAAGAGCATTTAAAGGCAGTTTTCGAAAGATTTGATAAATATGGAATAACTATTAATCTATCTAAATGTGTTTTTGGTCAGTCAACACTTGAGTTTTTAGGATTTGAAGTGTCTACGGAGGGTGCGCGACCACTTCAAGATAAAGTACAGGCTATTGTAAATTTCCCGAAACCCGAGACAGTCGATCAACTACGCCGTTTTCTCGGTATGTTAAATTTTTATCGTGCACACATTCCAAACGCTGTTCAATATCAATTCGAATTGAATAAATATTTGCACAATACAAAAAAACGCGATAAAACTTTGATTGTGTGGACTGATAAGGCTGACGAAGCATTTAAGAAGTGTAAGGAAAGCTTGCAAAGCGCCGCTACACTGTCTTATCCTTTACCAGATGCTAATTTAGCGCTGATGACCGATGCCTCGGATACTAGTGTAGGTGCTGTATTACAACAGAAAAATAACAACAATTGGCAACCATTAGGGTATTTTTCAAAAAAACTTTCACAAGCTGAAACGAAATATTCTACTTATGATAGGGAATTATTAGCAGTATTTATGGCTATCAAATATTTTAAAAATTTAGTGGAAGGCCGTGTACTGACTATTTATACTGACCATAAGCCTCTTGTTTTTGCATTTTCAAAATTAAATAACGACAAAGAAAGCCCTAGAAGAATTCGTCAATTATCTTACATTAGTGAGTTTACCACCGATATTCGTCATATCAGCGGTGAGCAAAATGTAGTCGCAGATACACTTTCGCGGATAGAAACGATCAGTTGTCCTACATTACTCGATTTTAGAGAAATAGCTGAGCAACAACTTAGTGACGAATACATACAGCAAGCGTTGCAAGCAACAGATAGTAAATTACAATTTAAACAAATATTATTGCCAGACTGCGAAAAATATATTTATTGCGAAATTTCATCTAATAGAATTAGACCATATTTACCAGATATATTCAGGAAAATTGCTTTTCATTCGGTTCACGATTTAAGTCACCCCGGTGTTAAGACTACCAGAACTTTAATTAAACAACGTTTCTTTTGGCCTAATATGCTTAAGGATATAGCGAGTTGGACTAGAACCTGTTTTAGTTGCCAGAGATCAAAAATTAATAGGCATACGATAGCAGGATTAGGAGAGTTTGAGCGTGCAGACCGTTTTCAACATGTTCATATAGATATTGTAGGCCCGTTGCCTACATCGGCAGATGGACATAGATACTGCGTAACAATGATAGATCGTTGTACCGGATGGCCGGAAGCTTTCCCAGTTCACAATATTACAGCTGAAACAGTAGCCAAGGTAGTATTTGAAGGCTGGATATCTCGATTTGGAAGCCCTTCGAAGCTTACTAGCGACCAGGGTAGACAATTTAAGAGTGATCTTTTCAGTCAGCTAATGAAGTACCTAGGTATTTTTAAAATGCGAACAACACCTTATCATCCGCAGAGTAACGGCATGGTTGAGCGATGGCATCGAGCACTAAAAGTGTCACTTACAGCACGTTTAAACTGCAATAGTAACTGGGTGACCGAGCTTCCAGTCGTGTTGTTAGGCTTACGAGCCGCAACCCGCAGTGACAATGGCGTTAGTGCAGCAGAGTTAACTTATGGTAAAACAATTCGTTTGCCAGGTGATTTTTATGAGGATTCCAAATTAAATTGCTCGGATTCGGAATATTTACAAAATCTTCGCGATTCCATTAAAAGTTTGAGACCTAAACCGTCAAGTCATGGTAATTCACGTTCGTTATTTCTGCCTAGCGAATTAAATAGTTGTAAGAGTGTATTCATAAG